AAAAAAAAAAAAAAAAAATAAAAAACAATGGAATCTGAATTCGGTCACTTATTTCCCCGTCTTACCCCAGGGGTACCAACGGTATCGACTGCGCTTTAATTTCTCCGCGGTATTCCTTCAAGTATTTCCGGTCGGCTGGTCGGGATGGAAAATAAAAAAATAAATCCGCGGTTCTTCGAGTTCTCGCAGCGGCCCCGTAAATTCCTTAAGCCGCCATTTAATTTCGGTGGAGTTTAACAACGCGGCCGGCGTATATCTGCTTGGCATGCGGATTCAATTCTAAAAGGGAAATAGTGTAACGCGTTCGCTCAAGCTTCTTTATTACTTAGCCTTTCAGTCGTGCCAACTGCGCACGGACACACACCCTCTCGCATTAACTCCTAACCATAGTCACCTTTAAAAGCCATTAGCGAATTCCGGCGATACCTTTTTACAGCCCTCCGCGGGCATAAAGGGATCTCGATCAACCCGATCCATCACCCGGGGATACCACTCGCGAAAATTATCCGGCCGTTTAAGCAAATTTCCTCTCTTCACCCGTACCCCGCCTCCCTTACATCGTCTTTCCTCGTCTCCTTCGAGGAATCGAGGAAAACCAACCCCCGTGACATAAAGCAAGCACTCACCGGGGTCAAGAAAAATCTCACCACTCCCGTGGTGGTATTTCATTTTCCAACAACCAACCCCGGATTCTCCGGAGTCGGTAGATATTTAACAGAAGGTCTAAACTCTGCGGAAAATTCGATGCGGCAATTTAATCAAGTTCCCATAATCTCGGAAGCAAAGACCGGAATCCTGCATCGAATATTCCAGCGGCGGTACGTAAAGTGGGAACTCGCCAAGCAGAGTGAACCCCTACAAAGGCAGAGAGATCTCCGAACAACGCTCTCGTAAAACACCGTTGCGCCATAAAACGCGAGAGGAGAAAAAAAAGGGAAAAAAGGAGAGAAAGCAACGGAAGAGAAAGGAAGAGAGGCAGGGGTAGAAGGTCCATCCGAGACTCTTCGGAAATGTATTCCATCCTGACGAGGAATCGACGCAGGGACTCCGCCCATTCAATTAGAGGAACGGTCCGGTATTACACTCGATCTGTGGAAACAAGCGGCACCATGAGCAGCCACTGCCATCCGGATAAATATTAATCAAGTTGCTGGCGGGACAGGATCGAAGGGATGGAGGCTGGCATCCTGCGGGGTCGTTCCTTGTAACGCGGCAATCTCGGCGATTTGCTTTACTTCCGAGGCGCTTTTACTGCCTCTGAAATAAGGATTCTCGGGGTTGCCGAGGAGCTGCTCGTATGCATCGCCGACGACGCCGGTAATCGCGGCGTCGGGAGCACGCGTCGCGGCCTAGCCGGCTAGCGTTTGCGGCGAGTGCTTTCTTCCGGGCAATCCCGATCGGAGCGGATCGAATGGCTGCTTGTTACTGCGAAGAATCCCTCGTCCATTTATACCTCGCCGTTTTATCGGCCCGTGGCCGGGTTCACGGAGTGCCGAACGACGCCGTTTCCATCGCGCGTTCTCCTCTTCCGTGATCGCTGCTACTCCCTGATACTCGCCGCTTCCGATCAGGGATGAGGATGGGCACCTGTTCAGGCGTTAGCTTGGAATACGCTGATGCAACGACTGCTGGGTAAGCCACGTATAACTTGGGCGTTAACCAGAGTTAGCAGAAACCCTACGCGGCAAGCAGATTTAGAGCCGTGGGCTGGGATAGACCTATTCGAATCTGTTCCGGATCTGATTCCATAAGCCTATTATTAGGCTTCAGATTTAACCCGCGATTAAGTTGCGTCTGAACGTAAGCAGTCTGTCGATTCCCGGAGTTGGCATTAGCGCATTGTCCCTGCTAATTGCTCCTCGATCGCTAATCGATTCTTTGTTTATGTACATGCATACTCCGTGTAACGAGTATTGTAACGTACAGATTGTCTCACTCGAAGACTCGATTATTTCGTGAATTATAGTTCCTTTCGAAAAATGGTTAAAGTAACAGAAGATTTACTCTATTTCAATGGGGACACCTTAGCATGATCATAAATTTTTGCTAGTATTTTTTTTATGGGAAAAGGGAACATGGAAGAAGAAGGAAGCGAAAGGGGGTGGATAAGACGAAAGCCAGGTCCATCCTTCTTTCCGAGGAACAAGAAGTCGGAACTCAAAAATAATTAATAGCTAATATTAAACTTTGAAATACCGTTTCGGCGGTATTATTACTCGTCAAAAAATACCATATTACAACCCCGTACCCCAGTAAAATGCGATGGCATTTTGACACTTGGCTATCATATACTCCAAGTACTTGTAGTATGGGGAAATTTTGTAACCCGTATTCTTGTTCCTCAAATTCTGAAACTCCGTCTAATAATTAAATATATAGCCCTACCAAGGGTCCATATAGATACTAGACCTATTAGCACGCGGTATGTAAAAGCACATAATTTTTAAATATAGCGATCAACGTTTACACTTTCACTGCTAACATAAGTACAAGTTCCTATGCTATCTAAGTATCCCCCATCTAAGGCAGAGTCTACTAGGAAGCCTTGCTTACCAGGCCACTAGCAAGCCTAGGACGAAACGCATCCCTTCCTCGCGTCCTCCTACCAGCTACCTATAATAGCACGACGGCCATTAGGATATCAATCGGCACCAGCGTAGGATCCACAAGCCTAGAAAAGCAACCTCCGTGCACCCCTACAAAGATAACGACATAATCCACTTACTATTCAAAACCAAACACAATCTCCTCAAAGAACCATCCACCCCTAATCGTTGTCAAGGAAGAACAACCTATTGTCAATATATATCTAACAATCAGTTAATAAATACAATAAGTCTACGATATTTTCCATCCACTGCGCGGAGTTCTCAGGGCAAAATGAAAGAAAACGGGGAACGATCCTCTCGAGTATTTCGTCGATCTTGGCAACGGGCGGTCAGAGGAAGTCGTTAGGAGGGTTGCCTGGAGTCTCTTTCTTCTACACTCCTCTTCCTTTGTTCAATCCTGTTCCAATAATAAATACAGTTACCATTAGAAGCTACCCCAGACCTACCCCAAGAGCCATCCCCGAAATGTCAGACGAAAGTAAAGCAACGCAACGCGAAACGTCGGTCGCAATAACACGTGTCACGCGGCAGCCGAGTAAAACAATTCCAGCAGACATCTGGAAATTATCGAGAGCCGTCTTTTCCAGGTCAGAGACCTCGCTGACCGCGAACGGCTCGATCTCCTTGCAACTGGCGACGTGGGCACCACGCGGCAATGGGCTGGTCTACGTGTACCAGAACAACATCTATTACAGACCGGAAGCGGAAGTGGCTGTCGACTATCAAATCACGGACACGGGGGTGTTCGGGATCATTTATAACGGAGTGCCGGACTGGGTGTACGAAGGTAAGCTTCTTGCACCGTGATCTACCCCAAACCCCTTTATCATTCATGCGAATACCATACGTTTAATCGTCTTACGGCGAGAGCCGGTGAGACGAGCGCGTCGATTCCACTGGATCGATGGAAAACGCGATCTCGAAGCTCTCGCGAGGACCTAGAACCGGGTTGTTTGCACATCCCCTTGGAAGTACAAGATGTAAGTGGCGCGCGTGTATCTGTTTGGAGAGGTACATTTACAGGGACCGGGCGTTTAGCTGCACAATTCCATCTGTTCGATTCTTTGCTTTGTACACGGACTATTTGCCCACCCTCTTATCTTCCCTGTGCTTCACACCCCTTCGGCTTTCCCCCGGCGTCCTATATATATACATCTCTCTCTTTCCTCACTGTCTGGAATTCTCTCCGCGACTTCGCCTGCTCCGCAGAGTAACTTCCGCGAGGCACTTTTAAATTACCTTTGTACCGCGTTACGCTACTCGCATACGGAATGATGCTCGCGGAGATCAAAAGATTTCGCCAAGTAGGTTAAACGCGTTAGAAGCTTCGCGCGTCGTTTAATCGACTCGTGCCGAGCAGGAAAAACCGTCCAGGCAGGTTCTGTCATCTTAGGGGGACGCACGACCCGTTCCGCGCGTGGCCGCGCGTCTCGCTAATAGCCGCGCAACCGCTGTCTGGCAGTTCTTCTGGAATAAACAAGCATCACACGGCTGAATTCGCGTAGTCCGGACCGGAAGCGACGTTATCACGACGGGCTAGTTGCGCGCCCCCCGGCTTCTGCATACTTCAAAATTAACCGGACCGTCACCTCGTGTTACGGCCGTCCCGGATAAAAGGGCTCCGCGTGATTTCCGAACCACGAGTGCCCGTCAATTTCGTCCCGAAACCACGCCATTCGCCGTGTAATTATTTTCAACTGGCACCGTCGCGACTTCCTGAAATTTTTAATTGCCCGTTTACTACCCCGCTCCGAAATTCCGAGTTTTAAAACCGGTCCTGACCAATTTCCTGTTTTATTTTATTTCTGTCTATTTTCCTTTTTTTTTTCTTTTATTTTTGTTTGAGTGCGCACCGGGGGTGGAAAACTTTTCGCACTCCCTCTGGGAACGGTTGCGTTCCGCTACTTCGTTGTCGCGAAATCATACGAAAAGAAAAGAACGGGACTTTAAATCATGGAATAATCGCGCGGTGTTTAACCATTTTTCATAGGTGTTTTAACCGTTTGCGGGAGAGATTTCCGTCAGGGAACAGGGAAAATGTGGTACAGAGGAAGTAAGCTTCGTTTAAGAAATTCCCTTTGGAATAAATTCGGATTAGAGTTTGCTGCGAAACGATAGGTATTTTTTGGACGAAGCGGTGCATCTGTTAAAAAATAATCGGCTCATATTAATTCAAATTTGACTTCGCGGAAGAAAATTGATAGCTCACGATGCAGTGGATGAAAATATTGTAGTATCGCAGAATTTTCACGTCGTGTATAGGTAACTTTAGCTTAGAAAATCATCGAGGGTTCCAGGGTTCCAGGTCGGTCGGCAAAACCCCGGCGATGCGTCAGGCCCTGAGCATGACCATATTTGGTCAAGTTGGGGAAGGCTTTTGGAAAACGTATACAGGTTGGGGAAGATATAAAAGAAGGTAAAAGTGGTTAGTGAAGAGTTCTTGTGAAAGGTGATTGGAAGGGAGTTTCTGAGAGACAGTTCTTGGGAGAGGAGTTCTTAGTTGTGTTTTAGTTGCGAGCCTTTAGTTGTAACTGGCTGAGTTGTCATTGTGTTGTTGAATTCAGTTGTAGTCTTAAGTTGTAGTCGATATAGTTAAGTTGTAGTTGATATAGATTCCTATGCTTAATCGTCACCCACATATTGTTAATCTATTATTATTATTATTATTTAATAGATAGCAGTTTTATTTACCAACCCTACAATATTTCCAATATTTTTTTAAATATATCTTTTATTTATTTAATTTTATTTTTCCTGCCCTATTCGAATTGAACATTGGCATTACAAAGATGGATAGAAAATCTTCCTATTCTTAAAAATTAAATTTCGTGCTGCCATTTTGTTTCATGCACCCTTCACATAATTTCAAAAGAAATTTATAAGAAGAATCGAGCCGTTCACTGCACAAATTGATTAACTCCCTAAATGAAAAAGTGGAGAAATGTAATAAAATAATGTATATTGTTTTTTAAAATTCCCTTTATAATTTAAATCGAAATAAATACAAATGTAACTTTCATCCAACGGTATATAAAATTTATAAGAAAAAGTAGCCAAAAGGTAATCGTTGTTAATGTTACCATTTTTATGTTACTGGAAGAGTTAATCGATTTGGCGAGTGAAAAAAGTAATAAATTTAAATTTTACTAAATTTTACTTAAATTCTGATAAGACGGGGACTAAATAATTCACCGTTATCATTCATGGCTTGCTAGTGCATTCGAGTTGCATTATCGCAACGATTTACGTTAGAGTACGGAGTTAATCAAAGCGACCTCTGAAATAAATTATTTATTATTCAGTGGTCAAAAAATTGTTGTTGTTTAACGGTGTTAATCTTAATTATCAGGGAAAATTATTATAAATATAAAAAGTTACGACTGTACCAAGTGCTTTGACACTTAAATTTAAGATTTTTTAAAAAGTGAAGTTAATTAATTAATGCAGTGTACGGCTCAATTATAGATCGAGTTATAGATAAAATTATAGATAGAATTATAGACAAACTATAGACGATGGATCTTTTTCTACACTGTAACATTAGAGTATCTTGTTAATTTCTACAGATTCACAGAATTATGAGCTTTTCTGGTGCTGGAGAGGTCGCTAATATCCCTCACGTGTTGCATAATTAAATCAACTTTAATTACGTAATCAGATAGCCAAGTATATGTCTTACCAGATGTAATACCCGTTATAATAATATCTCACTGATATTTTACCTCAGTTCTGGTCTCTGGTCTCTGTTATATCCAAAGACACACTCTGCCAACTATTCCTGGACACGTATCGAAAATGAGGAAAAGGAAGGGGAAATTTACAGTCGAATCGAATTATCCATTCTTCGCGTCTCTTTTACGTCGCACCTTCACTCCACCCCCAGTAAATTCAATTAACGAGCGAGTGCTCAGACCCTAATCGATGACCCGGAACGACCAATTGATTCCAGACAAGCAACGTCTACGATACCACCTCGTTATCGGCCGAGAAATTAGTACCTAAAACCGTCTGCCGGCAGTCAACGACCCTCCAGTCGGGATAATATCATTGGAAAACACAGGCGGAGGCCTGCAGCTCCCCATTTCTCGCGGTTACTTGGCGAAACGGCAGACCTGTGCCGCGAAATGGGGAAGAAGGGATGAGAAGATCGCTGGATCGGGATTATCGCGTTCAGACGCGATCCCCGTCGCGGATCGGGCGTCGCGACGCCATCGCGGTGTCGTCGGGCGCAATATTTTTTCGACGGCCTTTTTAGCGGCGCGCTTTGTACGTGTGCACGTCGGATGAGTTTTCGCCCCTGCCGTGGAACCCGGAACAATAATATGTGCCGGGACCGTAATTCACACAGCTGATGCTCCAGGGGACGTTGCACGCGTTTGCATATTTCTGAGCCTTCATCAGCTCTCCGCGTCTCGCTCTCCCGAACCCCTCTAGCCACCCCCGGTCGCTCGACGTCGTTCGCCCGGTATTTCGCTAAATCGCGCCCGACCGAACGAATGAAGCATAAAAATTCATCAGAGGAGCCGCGGAGGAAAAGCAGCCAGCCTGCCATCCATCTACCCGGCCGCCACTTTTTCGCTCTTTACCCTGCGACACGGGGTGGCTCTGGCCTGATTCATCGCCACGCGAATTCAATGGGATCTCCTCGACTGGGTAAATATTTAAACGCACCCTCCGCCACCCGCCTTGCTTTCCTCTTCCGCTATTAGTGTCGCCCGGAATCCGGTCGCAGCGTCCTTTGGCTCGCGCGGCCCCTCAGTTGCGATTCGATTAGACACAGCTCCCAAACGGAGGGTAAACTTCGTTCTGTATTAATTGCTGGCCGATTGTCGACGGCTTCGGATGCCGATTCGGATCCCTGATTCGGATGGAAGACGGATTGACGCTGACGGAGCTGCGGCCATTCGTTTGCACGCCGCGCGGAAGCGTGTCGAGATCTTTGACGTCGCTAAACGGAAGCTGTCGAAATAACGTCTTGCTTGCCAATCCGTCGAATTCGGGATCGGGGAGCCGGGAATCTCGCGTGCGACGTGTGCCGGAATTTAAAGGGCAACTCCACGGGAACGGTTTCCCGTTTAAATCTCGTATAAACTTCGCGTTAAGGAGATTACTCGGGGAACGCGGATCCTCTGATCCCAGCACACCCTTAGAGCCTTTGTTCTCTTTGCGAATTAACCTGATTTTTATTCGCCTCTGAGAGAACACCTAGTATTCGTATCTAGTGGGTACACACACGGTTGCAAGTACCAACGTTTGCTTTAATAAATTCCGCTGAAGATTCCACGCTGCTTTTCCAAGGATTTCCAAACCTCTAAGCTGTCCAGGAGTCGTCACCGGATTTCCAGGCGATATTAGTCTGTTCTCGGGAACGAGAGAGATAGTGGAATCCTCGAATCTGATCCTGGTCTTTAATGGAGTTATCGAGTCGATTTATCAGCCTGGAGAAATCGCGAAAGAGTGAACGACGTTGTACGAAAGATGATAGCTACTCTTGGTAAGAATGGCCGGGGTTTTGAACTTGCTAGGTTCTGCACTTAAAGTGTATTATATTCCCAGGTTTGGATTGCTAACTCTTGGTAAGAATGATCGGGTGTTTTTGACTTGCCAGGTTCTGAAATTCTGGGTTCTGAACTTAAAGTGTATTATTCCCAGATTTGGAATTGCTACTCTTGGTAAGAATGGTCGGGTTTTGGAACTTGCCAGGTTCTGAAATTCTGGGTTCTGAACTTAAAGTGTATTATTTCCAGGTTTGGATTAGGTCATAACGAATATTTAATTCGGGTTCGG